TATATAATGACCTTCATAGCCGATTAAATTCAAATTAAAAAGTGTCAAACAGATTCAATTTAGTATTAAACGGACGGAATATTTACACGAATAAGAATATTGATATAGTTAATTACGTTGATATTTCTTTTACTTCACTTTACAGAGAATATCGCTGATTCACCTTTCATAAATAAATGAAAATATGTACTTCCTTCGTGCCTTCTATTGTTTCTATTATATCACTGTCACAACAGTTGATAAAAATAGAAATAAAATGTTCTTCACATTATCATTAGCCCAATTATATAACTTTCTGGGTAAATTAACACGTTCCTGTCAGGATTGAAGGCTAGCTTTTATCGAGAATATTTAGTTGCTCCCCCCCCCCTAAGACGCATGGTCCCTTTCCATAAGACGTTACGAAGCGAAGAAATGCCATTCTGCACTCACACTGAAGGCATCTTTATGGAAGCATAGACTCGCATTGTTCTGTAATAATATTCTTGTTCTGTAATAATTTTCTGTACTGACCCCATCCGAAAAATGTCTTTAACACTGTCATAATTTTACTTGACAAGTGCTGTGTGTTTACACTGAAAATGGTGAATTGAATTCGAGTCGTGATTCAGGTACCCAGAAAAGTATTTTTTTTTTATTTTTATTTTTAATTTTTTTGCTTTCTCTAAAGTATAGCACAAAAGGATGCAGAATAACTAAGACATTTATTCACAGCAGTCTCTGAATAGCACCAAGAACGAAAGAATAATCTTAAAAAGTCACACTGGACAATGAAAACTCGTAGTGTCAAATTTTATTTTTGTCTCATGAAGAGAGCAGAAGACGGCAAACGATGGGCGAAGACAGCAGAAAAACAGAAGATGAACTTACTCGGTCAGTTTCTTTATTACTCTGTCAGATGTATCACCCTTAAGGTGACTAGGAGCAGTGGTAAACCTTAATTCATCCTTGGCACTGCCCAACATATATGCGGCATTAACGAGTATGGTCAATTCTCACTTTCTTGAAAAAACTTCACTTTACTCGTCACGAGAAGGAATTTTTTAAACTAATTTTTCCAATAATTTAACTTTTTCACGACAGTCAATTTTCAACTTCTCAAGAATGCTGTATTTACAACCTAAACGTACACTTCTGCCATTATAGATTTTCATATTAAGAAAATACAAATAACAATAGTATTGATATTATTTTAAGTCTATCTGTGATTACTTACTTCCCAGAACAACGCATATGTTGTCGCGGATTCCTCTGATTACACAACTGAAGGCTGATCTGTCTCAGGAAGATCCTAGCAGTGTCAGTCGTTTTTAATAAACTTAACGACGGGCAGCGGGCTGCCTGCGTGCGCCGGTGAACAAACTATTTTTTAATGTTATTTATGTGTGTCCCATTCTGAAATTGGGGTTATCTATACAACATTAATGCTGTACATGAGTATTTTTTACAATTAACGTAGGTGTCGACCTAATGTAAAACTTGTAATTTAATAATTGTAAATATTGTAATTTAAAAATTAAAATATATTTTAAATATTTAAATATTTCCAAAAAACTTTTTACATCATATAAAAGAAAATCTTTTCAAGTTAAATTTAAGTATAATCTTATTTTTCTGAAGAAAATGGTATTAGCGCAAAAAAATAATAATAAACTGCGCGCGCGTGATTTTTTGGAAAAAATAATTGGAAACATTTCTGAAAGGGTGGGATTAGAAAGAAAAAAAAGAGGAAAAAAATACGTCTCACCTCATTTCTACCATAGAAAGGCCAAAGTCGAAAGTCAATACTATCTCCTGATTTAACAATCGATTTTTACATTAGCCAACGATTGTTTTGTCATGTTGATAGTGTAAGAAGGGCCAATGTTTACTTTGGAAATTAAAGATGTGCAATACTCACCGAATCTTCCAGGAAACATTTTTTACAAATACAGCTTTATGAAGAAACATTTAGGGAGCCAAACATAGGAAAGAAGGGCCTGAGAAATATCAGTCACGTAGCTTTCGAGCCTATCAATGATAAACCTCTTTCAACAAAGCTCAAGGATCTTAGAGATTTGCTACCATTCATGCATCCAACCCACAGAATATACTACGAAGCATTTCTAAACAACATTTATGAAGGAACAGAAGACAATAAAATGGACATTAATTCAGACAAACAATAATCATTTTAGTCATTACTTTCTCTGCTATTTTCATAGTTCTGCTCCTACATGTCATTTCTGTTGTCTCTATTATGAAGAAATACTGTACACTAAATTCATGTTTTCTTTTTATAATGAGCAAACTATCGTACAACACAACAGTATTTCTCTACTGTTCCTGCCCAAAAATTGCTATTCTTGCTTTTCAAAACCATTGTCATTGCTTATGTATCATTATTTATTGACGGAAAATAAAGAATGGATAAAACTTTAGACACATTTTTATTTTTAACACTTTCATTCAATAAATAAAAGAGGAATATAATACTCTAGTCCACCCCAGCCAAGTGGGGCTTATGTCAGGTCAAAGACCTATATTCGGTATTGTCAAAAAGGGCCAATTATGTATTGATACCATACTTTCACATACATTCATAAGATGATATATTGGATGGCCTTTAGTTCTGGATGCTCAATTCATTTGTGAAATTATCCTTGCTTGTCTGTATAATGTGCTGCAAATATTGCGAGAAAGTATGTGCAGTTGGAGCACCATTAGTTAAATGAAACACATAAAAATGCAATATCTCTATAAGATGTGCTGACACTAATACCTTTATTGTCAAGGTTTACATAAGACTTATTTGTTGTGAAATATTTTAAGCAAGGTAATCATTTGTCAATGTAATTATTTTATTTATATCATTTCAATGGTTCATTGTTAATAACCAATAAACTTTTTACCTCACAATTTACATTGAAAATAAGATTGTTGAATAATTAAAATTGTTGAATTTACATTGAAAAAACTACCCCAATACATGAATCTGAAAGTAACATACTAAAATACCCTTTCCACAAGAGAAAGTGTTTCTCTGTTAGGCACACAATGTTCTGACCAGTTGATAAGGAAGAGTTAATATCTACTATAGAACATTACAATCTCAACATATAAAATTTTATATTACTCACTGTTAAATGCTTCTGGGTTCTCATAAGCTGAATTATTCTTAACTAGATTTTCCTTTACATCAATTATGTGATGTCCTATAGTAATGTAAATGTTGCCAAATACTCGTTCAGAATTACAAAACTTCTGTTTTGCCATCATATCAACAGTAATCGAAGAGGCCAAATCAAACATAATCTGCAAATCATGACAGGCATCAATATTCCAACTTGGGTGCGACCTGAAAAAAATACAGTAAAACTTCACTTATACGTTTTTCAGGGGCTGTAGGAAAAAATGTATAGGAATGACTGTAGGAAAACGCAAAACAGAAATTGATTATTATGAGCAAAATAAAAACTTTTTACACTATCGTTTTACCAATTTTCACAGTTCTTTAGCCATATCTACTTTTTTATTGCCGCTCTCCCAAACAATTTTTTAAAATTTTATCTGATAATGAACCCTTTTCATACCACCCTTTTTCGTTTAATATCGCAAACGAAAAAACAGATAGAAGACGAGCTATACTTCGATTTAAGCACAGAGCCTCAGAGCCACAAATTACAGCGGTGATCACCTTGGAATAAAATACAGTCGGCCGAAGGTCATCATCGAAGAAGTCTCCCCTGACGTGGAGGTAGCTGACACGCAATGACTAGGGCCCGGATAATTATGTATAATGTTGAATATTTTATATATATATATATATATATATATATATATATATATATATATATATATATATAAGTTCATAAACAGTAATAGACAAATTTAAAACTATTTGTTTAATTTGCTGTAACAACTTGCGCCGGAGTTTTTTTTTTTCCAAATTTAACAAAATGGTAGTCATTTTGGGGAGTTTTAAGCAAAAGTTCCTTAGCCAGAACAGGCTTTTAAATCAGGCTTAAAATGAGGGTTTTCAATCAACATGAGTCCTGAGCCATTCCCGTACATGTCCTTCAGACTATCCAAGAACCAAATTTAATCAAAATCGATGGCGCCATTTTTTTGAAAATTTTGAAAATGTCCCAGGGGCTTCATGTAAAGTAACCACCCAAATTAAAATATGTTTCAAATTCAAGGGGCCGCGAAATCGCGCCAGATCGATCACGGAATATCAATTTCGGAGAAAATCAACTGAACAGTTAGCCTCTTGCGTTGTGGATGGACGGATGGACGAACACGTTTGCCGTCAATCGACTTTTCGGTATCAAGGATCCACAAAACATGGATTCTGGCTACGCCACGTGTTAGAGGATTGTTTTTCCTAAATATAGCAACTAGATTTATTCACTTTTTTGTTACCAGAGTTCTGTAATAAAGAGTTTTCAGCAGAAAATTCGCCTTTTTTGTGCATTATTACATAACTATCTCTTCTTAAGAAGTCCCTTCTTAGGCGCGAGAAAGTAAAAATAATTACACATTAAATATATTATCTGAATTCCATAAAAGTTATAATAAAAATAAGGATCAATGTTCATTATTTATTTCCAAAAGAAATTCATTCCATGCCATTTCAATTGGCAGTTTCCAATAGACGTGCCCCAACTACGTATAGCTGATACACTCCGATTCAATTGATAACAATTAATTTTAGAAAATTTGATTGTTGTTTAGACAAAAACTCAATTAAATACACAATTTCTCTCTTAATTTGGAAATGGTTTCACTGTCTGTCAAAAACAAATTCTTGTATCTATATATCTTTCGCTCATTCTTTGCTTAGAGACAGTTGTACTACAAAAAAGGATTAAAAAAGAGTTAGTAACACATATTGTTTATTCGACTTCAGGTGAAGGTGATGAAGTGATTATTAGTGAAATCAATGCCTTTTTGGTTCCCTCATTTGATTAAATGTCATAATGTTGATGAAGGTGAGTCTTCAGTTCTGTTTACTGTCTTCTGTTATGTTAGCCTCCTAATCTTCGGTTTTTCAAGTTGTTACGTCGTTAATGTGTAAGCATAGATACATTGTGTTACTTTTAATTTGTAGTAAATATTTTTAGTTAATTTGTCATTCTAAGCTATTTAGTAATGGTGTTTTGATTTTAATTCTTTACGTCTTGATTATTTTAAAATCTAGTTATGTAAAGAACCTGATGAAGAGCATGGGCAGCTCGAAAAGCGTAGTGAAAAGGGATGAAATGAGAACAACACTGCCAAATTTGACATAGTATACTAGTGTTATTGATTTTTTGTTAACTTTGTCACGATTTAAATACATGAAGTCGAATAAACTGAAAATGTGTAAATAACGTGTTTTTAATTCCTTCTTGTAGTAAAACTGTCTAAGCAAAGAATGGGCCAAAGATATATAAATACAAAAATTTCTCAATTACGTTCAATTTTAATTCGATGCTGGAATATTATAAGAATAACATGAATACCTGCAAATTTGTAGGGAAAGAAGCTTACGATAATGATATTTTGTTTAGCGAATCGGGTGGTAAACATCAAACTTCTTGCCGCTCCATACACAGGTAATATTATAGATCAAAATAATTATAGTTTAATAATAATAAAAATAATAGTAAAAATGGACTTCCAATATTAATAAATTATATGATTCAGGAAAATGGCCAACAAACCCGAATAAAAAATTAAAATCATAAATAATTGAAACAGAACCTTTTGAACAACGTTTCAAATATGAAAAATTATACAACAAGCGATGTGGGAAGATTTTCATATAGTTATTATGAAAGAAATATTCCAAATGGCCAACAAGTATCTAGAGATTGGCTCACATATTCTCTTTCACCAAATCGCACAAATCGCATTTTTTGTTATTTATGCAAAGAGCTTGCAAACATTGTTTCACCTCTCGCAAAAGATGGATTTTCCGATTGGATTAATTTATCTAGACACTTAAATAGCTATGAAAAAAGCAACTTCATCTTACATCAGTTACAAATTTTATGGAATTGAGAAAAAATGACAGAAATTATATTAACGCTCTCTTTGAACAAATTGTGTCAAGAAAAAAATTGTTGGTAGAAAGTTTTGTTGCGAATAGTGCACAGTATAAATTATTTAGCTACACAAAAGTACTTCTAAAGGTAACAACTGTAAAAATTTTTGAAAAAAATAAATCGTCTTTCGCTTGGGATCCAGACTGTACCCCTAAGCCACTACAGAATACCCAAAGAATACACCTCTCGATGGCGATGTAAATTTGTCCTTATTGTCGAGGCAGTAAACCTTACATCCGAATTCACGAAACTCTGTTACGTCACATGGAACACCAAACCATATTTCATACGGAGTTTTCCGCTTAATTTACTGCTTGACCTGCGGTTTCTGATGTAGTTGGCCGTATAAACAGCCTCTGCCCAAAACGGAGGCAACTTGGACTGCGCAAGTAAACAACAGACCGTCTCTACCAGGGATCGATTCTTGCGCTCTGCAACTTCATTTTGCTACGGACTGTCAGGTGCAGTAAGTCTTCTTTGAATTCCCGAAGAAGGTCTGAGGTTTTCGTCGAATTTGCGGTTAACGTACCCCGTTCCATTATCGGTTTGAAGACATTTGACCTTCACCCCCTGTTTACGCACGCACGTGGTTTGACACCACCTGCGCCGCCCCCTCCCCTCTTCGCTCGGCCGCCGG